TATTATTGTTCCCTTGTCCTAACTTTGGGCTTAGTTTTTTCTCTTTTTCCACTTCCTTGAATAGTAAAGTTGGGTTATTTGAGATTTTTTAATCTTTTTAAAAATAGGTATTTATTGCTCTAAACTTCTTTTTAGTACTGCTTTTCTGTAGCATAAGTTTTGGTGTGCTGGTGTCCATTTTCATTTCTCTTATGTTTTCTAATTTCCCTTTTAATTTCATGTTTGACCTATGCTTGTGAATTTTCCAGTTTTCCTTCTGCTATTCATTTCTAGTTTCATTCCATTGTTGTTAGAAAATATATTTGGTATGATTTCAACCTTCTAAAATTTGTTAAGACTTGTTTTATTATCTAATATATGCTATATCCTGTAGAATGTTCTATATACACTTAAGAAGAATGTGTATTCTGCTGCTTTTGGGTGGAGTGTTCTGCACCTATTATGTTCCTTTGATCTATAATGTTGTTCCAGTCTGCTATTTCCTAATTGATTTTATGTCTAAATGCTCATTATTGAAAGTTAGGTAATGAAGAATCCTATTATTATTGTATTGCTGTCTATTTCTCCCTTCAGTTTCCTCAATGTTTGCTTTATATGTATATTCAGGAGCTTTGAAGTTGGGTACATGTGTATTCATAATTGTTATTTCTTCCTGGTGAATGGACACTTTTGTCATTATACATATCATTTTTTGTCTCCTGTGACAGTTTTTGACTTAAAATCCTTCCCTCTACAGAGAGAAGCTGGGAGCTGGGATTTTGTGATAGCCAGTGATGTTGGTGTTGGGGTGGGCAGAGCCTTCCCTATATTGATTCAATTAAGAACTTCCAAATATTCATATTTTGTTACCAAAAATGTCCTTTACACCACTTTGCCCCACTTCCACTGAAAATATAGGACTTTTTCTAGTTTGTATGAGTCCATGAAGAATATAATTATTGCTTGATTTCTTCTCAAATACACTGTGGATCTGTGAAGGGTGAGAATCTCTGTGTGTGCTCCAAAGATGAAAACTCCCTTTCATGTGGTTAAGTGTTAGACTAAGGTCTTCCAGTGATTCTCAATGGATGAGGAGAGAAGGCAGTATGTGAAAATATGCATGTGAGATGGGGAAGTCTTGTTTGTCCAGGAAATTTATTGGATTTAATGCGTGGAGATTGTGTATGGAAATAGAATAAAAATTCCTTCCCTAAAATACCACCAGTATGTCCCTTAATGCTGACATGCTGTAACCTCTCATAAACATAGTTCCCCCAGGCTGCACACCAATCTGCATGTGATGATAATAATGAGCAGAGACAGGACACAACATAAAGGGTGCAGACATTGAAGTCAGGGACCTGAACAGAATCTTGATATGGTCACTATCTATAGTATATAACTTGGACTAAGTCTCTTATCTTCCTTAAATCTCCATTTTACTATATATAATGGGTATTAAAACATATAGCTAACAAAACTGGGCTGAAGAATAAATGATTGCTGTATACAAGTAAGACATGATAAGCTTTGAAAAGGTCTATACTTTTCTCCCTATTTATCTGGCAGAATCAGCCCTCAGTCAATTTGCTGTAAGCCTCAGATCTTGTGCACTTCTCTAAGAATAGAAGAACAGCCCCCACTGAAAAGTACTTAGCATCCCTTTGAACACAAAATAGATTTAGTCTACTCATTTCTCTCTTTTCTGTTGGAAAATGAATAGTCATATATTATTGAAAAAAGAAGAAAGCCTCAGGTCAGATGCACAGATAGCATAGCAAAAAGGGAAATCAGAGCCATGACTTGGGGAAGAAAAGAAGAGTTATAAAGCAAGAAAAAGCTACATACTTGAGAGCCAGGACTATATAGCACTGTTCAATAAATGGGCTCCTAATGGGATTCATGAGTCATCAAAAAGAATGTCAAATTATAATTTGTACATAATGTTTAACAAAAGCAAAGAGCTGTGTGGAAAAAATATTTAATATATCAACATGCTTTTTTAAATAAATTTTCATTATTTAAAGTGCTAAGCATCAATTAATCTGGAGATTCACCTTTGTGAATTAACATATCTCTCAATAGGAATAAATCAAAGCAGTATTTTTATACTATATTTATCATTGAAAATTGAAAAGATCACTGAAGGTACAGCATAGGGAATATAGTCAGTAATATTGTAATATCTTTGTATGTTGACAGGTGGTAATTACACTTACCATCGTGAGCATTTAGTATGTAATTGTGGAGTCATGATATTATATACCTGAAACCAATATAATATTGAATTCCAACTATATTTCAATTTAAGAAAAAGAATTAAACCAAAAAAAACCCCCCCACAAAAGGGCCAGCAATACTGGGGGACTTGTGCATTGATTCCATGGTCAATATAGTTCCATAGGATATTTCTATGTGATGAAGCCTAATAACATTGCATAACAAAAATCCAAACCATTCGAGTTTTAAAGCCAATTAAACTAAATACAAAGATACAAAAGATGACTGCTAATCCTGAGGATATAATTATAAATGTGAATAAAAGAATCTGAACCATGACCCTGTATCTCCCACAAAAGCAAAGATGAAATGCAAAACAAAACCCAGAAGATTTAAGCTGGTAGTCCAAAAGAACTGGCTAACCATCAAAGTTTAACCCAGAAGAATATGACAGACTATTTTTACAGATATCAAGAATATTTTAGGAGTTTATCCAAACAGTTTTCTAGGATAAAAAGAAGAAATTATCCCAATGAAAGTCCAAGCCAGGTGGCCTCACTGGTGAATTCCACCAAACATTTAAAGAGGGATTAATGCCAATCCTTCTAGAACTCTTCCAAAAAAAAGAAGAGGGGATATACACCCTAACTCATTCTATGAAGCTGGAATTTCCCTGACACCAAAGCCAGATTTAAAAAGACAAATAACTATATGATTTCAATTATATGTGGAATCTAAAAACCAGAACAAGTGAACAAACAAAACAAAACAAAACAAAACTCATGTATACAGAGAACTGATTGCTAGTTATCAGAGGGGATGGGGGTTGCTGGGTGGGCAAAAGGGCGAAGGGGTTTAATTGTATGGTAACAGATGGTACTAGACTTATTGCAGTGATCATTTTGTAGTGTATATAAATATGAATTATGTTGTACACCTGAAACTAATGTAATGTTATATACCAATAATATCAATAAAATATAATTACATTAAAAAAGAAAAGAATACCATAAACAAATCTCCCTTATGAATATTGATGTGAAAATCCTCAACAAATTATTAGTGATTCAAATCCAATAGCATATTAAAAGATCTATATGCCATGACCAAGTAGGATCTATCCAAGGAATGCAAAAATAATAACACACCACGTTAATAGAATAAAGAAATAAACCACGTTATATCAGTTGACATGAAAAAAGCATTTGACAAAATGTAACACCCTTTCATGATAAAAACATTCAGAAAACTGAGAATTGAAGGGAAATTTCCCAAGATAATAAAAGTCATAAATGAAAAACCCACAGCTAACACTATACTCAATGGTGAAAGATTGAGTTGTACCTCTAAGATGAAGAACAAGATAAGAAGGCCCAATTTCACCACTGCCATTCAACATTGTACTGGAAGTTCTATCCAGAGGATTAGGCAAGGAAAATAAATAAAAAGCTTTCACACTGGAGAGAAAGAAGTAAAACTATCTCTATTCACGGATGACATGATCCTATTTATAGAAATTCCCAAAGAATTCACAGAAAATTGTTCAAGCCACTAAATTCAGCAAAGTTGTAGGTTGCAAGATTGACACACAAAGATCAGTTGTACTATACACCAGTAATGAACATCTGTAAAGATATTAAGAAACCAATTCAATTTACAATATCATTCAAAAGAATAAATTATCTACCTATGAATTTAACCAAGAAGGTGAGACTTGTACTCTGAAAACTACAAAACATTACTGAACCAGTTAAAGATTTAAACAAATGAAAGACAGCTGTATTTATGGACTAGAAAACTTAATTTTGTTGAGGTTACAATAGTCCCCAAAGTGACTTAAAGATTCAATGCATTCTTAATCAAAAAAATCTAATGGCCTTTTATTGCAGATATGGAAAAGCAGATACTTAAATTTATAGGGAATTTCAAAGGGCTCTGAGTAGTCAAAAAAATTTTAAAAAACAAAAAGTTGGAGGACTCACATTTCCCAGTTTCAGTATTTGCTACACTACTATATAGTCAAGAAAGCATGACACTGACATAAAGATAGACATATAGATCAATGGAATGGAACTGAGAGTCCAGAAACAAACCCATATGTCTATGATCAACTATTTTTGACAAGGATGCCAAGACCTTTCAGCAGAGAAGAGAATAGACTCCTCAATGAATGATGTGAGGAGAACTGGATATTCACATGTAAAACAAGGACGCCACACACCTATCTATATAAAAAGTAACTAAAAATGTGTTGATGACTTACATATAAGGGCTAAAACCATACAATTCTCAGAAGAGAACAAGAGTATATCTTCACCACCTTAGATTTGACAGTGGATTTTCACACCATTGTGAATATTCTAAATATCACTGAACTGCTCACTTTAAAAATAGTTATGTTTTATGTTATGTGAATTTCATCTCATTGAAACAAAAAAAGAAAGAATTATGCTTCTTTGGTCCTTGTAACAAAGTAACAATTCCATATGGATTAAGAAAATGCAGAAGGAAAGGTTCCTTAACTTCACTAGTTTTAATTCAAGAATTCCAGACTTAAAAATCTCAGTTTTGGAAAGAACTTCAACATCTGTTTACCAGCCCACCCACTTGACACTCCAAACCGGCTGCTGTATTCTTCCACTAAGGTCACTCAGAGCCTGCTCTTAGACTCCAGCAGAGACTCGCCCCCTGAGGCAGAGCATTCCTCTTCTGATTAGTTCTATTAGAAAGTTCCCTCATGTAATCAGATGAAATAGACCTCCTTGTGTGACAAATATAAGAAATAATGAACTTCATCTTACCACAGAAGTGGGGTCAGTCTTGCAACCTCCTGGGATGGCACTTATGACACATTTTATAAGTATTTTCACTGTGTCTGCTACTCAAATCAAGTTCACATTCAAAAATAATCACTCTCTGATTTCCTTTTTTCCCCAGAGTTCAGATTGCAAGCATTCAGTTCCACCCAGCCAGTGGTGCCTTATTGATAATTAATTTCTTTTTAAGTTTGAATTCTCAGTAGTTGCTCTGATGATTCTGACTTGGAAGTCCCTCCAGGCATCACCTCTGATGAGATGAGACTGAAAAAAAAACAGAGAAATGCACCTTCAGCACAGAATTATGATGTGAACTTTTAAGTTCAGCAAAGCCAGTACACCAGACTAAAACAGTAAGAATGAAATGAACAAGCCCATGCTAGCACGCACATCTCTGTTCATGCAAACACACACACTACACACAAATGTGCTCTGTTAAATGCTTTACCCATGCTATTGCATTTCATTCTCCCAACAACCCCATGAGGTAGGTGCTAGTACTCCCGCTGACAGTTAAGGAAATTGAGGTAGAAATAGGTTTAGGAATTTACCAAGGTCACACACCTAGTAAATAGTGAACTGTGATATAAGCTTAGAAGTGAGAGCTTTACTACTGTGATAGGCTACCTGGCAGGGGAAGACAGGAATGAGGTAGCCGTGGACCCTGAATAACAGTCTCGATGCCGCTATTTGCTCTGTTTGCTTTGGGCAAAATCACATGATCGGTCTGTGCTTCCTCCTCCCCTCCTTTCTCTCCTTCTCTCACTCCCTCTTTTCCTCTTTCCCTCTGTCCCATTTTCATTCCTTACCTTCTCCTCCCCCTCCACTCCTCCTTTTCTCTCTTTTTTTCTAAAACATAGAATTGCACTAGATTATCTTTGGTCCTGTGTCTGCTTACATGTGCTGTGTGTCTATGCTGTGAGTGTAGTATGACAAGTGACAGGCATGGGGCAGGTGTCCCTGAGAATAGTCTTGGGAATTTTCTTTTTTCAAGATGAAAATCGTTTATACAAATTGAACTCAAAATGGTTTAATGTTTTCATGGCAAGGGGAATGTAAAACTGTAAGAACTTGTGCCACCTTCGACTCTCACTGATACGTCATTCAATTCTGTTCCAATACGAGAGTGTAACTGGTACATAAATTGGAAACAATATGCTTGCCTTATTTTGGAAAGTAAATGTTTTAAATTAACTTTAAGTAAATTCTGCTATTGACGCTGTTGGTTTCCAGTTCTTATTCAATAGTTCCTTCTTCTGAGTGCCTGCTACTGAATATTTTTGCCTCTTTTGCCCAAGAAACAATTGTTCATCATGCAAAAGAGCACCACCTGATCAAGAGCTATTGAGGAGTGGTAAGTTTTTTTCTATTGAACACAATTTGAGTCACATATTTCTGGTGTCCACAATCACCCCTCATTGACACAGACAAAGTCATCTGATTTATTTACAAGTAGAAAAGACAAACCCCTTTCATAAAGTTCATTCACAATAAATATTGCCTTTAGCAGAGCATCAAAAACTGCATGCCTAAAGATTCAAAAATACATTTTCATTCATATTTAAAAGCAAAAGTACTGAAGGCATCATTTGTAAATGTTGCATGACGATGGATACCGGGTCCATGCTAATTATAGTGTGTATATCTAGCAAACACAGAGGACCAAAAGAAGTAATTCTGAGCTTTAAACACCAACTTCAAATTGTCATTGAAGTTATTTCCAAACTGCTGAATTACATACAGTGCTATACAAAGAATCAAGCCAGAAATTACATGCAACTGCTAGATCATGGCAGGTATGAGTAGCTCGGGGAAGCTCTGATCACAGAGGCACTAGGAAGAAATTTTTGTCGCTTCAAAATGATACTCATAAAAATACTGAAGCAACTATTGCTTCTGCAATATAATCAAAAGTTATTTTAATATTTTTTGAATGAATGATTTCCAACATGTCAAAAACTGTTTTCTCATTATCAACTGGAGTAAAAATTCCAATCCTATAAGATTGTTTTAAAATTCAAATTAGATGAACTTCAAAATACTTTTAAAGTATTTTGTAAGTTATAACACACCTCCACAAATGTAGGGTAATGTAATTGTTAAGATGCTAGATTTACAAAACTTTTATAATTCATATTATATTAGGTATGAAGTAATTGATCAAAACTTCAAGGTAGTTATTATTAACAGCATATTCAAAGCCAAGCTGGAATAAAATGAAGATCTCTTTACAGCTCCCACCCCAAAGAGAAAGTGATTATTCTTGGCAAATGGACTGTAAGTGGCCTCCCTTCTTGTCATGCCCTGTTGGGTCACAATGATGGTCTTGAGAGTTGGCAAAGACAGGTATGTGATTCCTCTTAGAAGGTTCTAAGGGTCTTCCTCTTAAACTTGGATACTTGTTCTTACTTGCTCTCATATCAACCTGTGAGCTATGGGAAAGAGATGATTGCCTATCATATAAGCATGAGTGGGCTGATGCTAAGAACAGCTGAGAAGCAAGCCCAAGACCACACACAGTCAGTGTGAAGTAGGAGAATCCAAGGTGTCTGTAAGTCTGTTTTTTACTCAGATTACTTTCAACCTTCCTGGCCCTCCAGGGCCTCGAAGGAATGTTGTAGAACTTCATTCCTTTAACATAAAGCAATCAAATTGGAAGGGATGTAATTAATTGTTACCAGCCATTTCACTATTATCTAAATGAATGTCAATTTTTTTTGTAATCATTTTTGAAAGAAAAGACATAAAAAATAATGAGAGACAAAGGACAGAGAAATTGGGGATTTGCTTGAGTTAAGTTTGCTGAACACTGTAGTGAGATCTTACAGGCTCTGCCATCTTGGCTCCAAAGAAACATACATCTAAAGAGAAACACTGTGAAGTCCATGTGTATATTCTGGACACATAAATAAAAAACAAATTGAAATGAAGATATAAAAAACAGTATGAATTGCACATCAGATACATGTTGCTATAAATGGAGCACAGGGTGAAATTCCTGCAGGGTTCTACTGCATGAGGTATATGCAGGCTCTGTCCACATTAAGTAGATCAAACAAGTAGATTAACAAGTGTTAATAGATCTTTTGATTGGGGCAACTTGAATAGTTCCAAGCAATTTCAAAAGTTGCATAATGTTTAGAGACCACTCTGAAAGGGCAATTATTCAGAGACTTTATTGATTATGTTAGTCAAATAAGATATTTCAGGCAAAAAAAAATGGAAATATTATTAAGGATAGAAATATGTCATTTTGGAAAACTGAGATTGATGAAATCTGAGACACTACTGATAATGAAAAGATTACCTTTGATCAGGGCAAGAGAAAGGGATGAAAAAGAACACGTTAGGTGTATTTCAAGAGAAGTCAGCCAGCAGAATTTAGTTTATGCCACCTGAATGGACAAATGATGGCCAAACCCCCTCATCATCATTCCCCTCCTCCTGCTCTCGGCCCCTTGTCAGTTCTCCTTTCATATCATTTACCTAACAGCCCAATTAGGAAATCAGTGAGTTATTCACTTTCCTCTGTCCCTCTCCTCCCCACTATCCATCCAATCAGCCATAACTTCCTCAACACTAGCTCCCAAGTGAGTCTCAAATCCATTCCTT